CCCCAAGGCTCCCTTGTGCTCTGAGGAAGCCTTTGGAAGTGGGTAAGAAACCCTGGTAAAATAAAATTAACTATTTAGGACCTAACCTGAAACTTTCCCAAAACAAAGCAAGCTACTGGTCAAGAAAAATATATTTTGAAACACAGGTGGAATTATAATAGTCCTAATATGAGTAAATGGAGACTGCAGCCAAGAAATGAGAAGACTGAGGCTCAGAAGGGCAGCAATGAAGGAATGAGAAAAGGCCATCAAGCATAAGGATGTATCACTGGAGACCAAAACTACGGTCATTTACACACACGTATTCCCAATCACTATGTATGAGCGTGAAAGTTGGACAGGAAAGAGAGTTGACAGGAAAAAAAAATCATGAGAAAGCAAGATTCACTGGAAAAAATAATGCTGGGAAAATCTGAAGACAGCAGGAAAAGAGAAAGACAGGTATGGGATGGATTAACTTAATCAAGGAAGCTAAGCAGGGCTGTTGAGGACAGGGCATTTTGGAGGACACTCATTCACAGGATGCAGTTTACAAAAACAAAGCAGTTTACAAAACAAAATGAAACTCACAATAATAGACTTAAAGCAGAAGATTAAAGAGAAAAAAAGAAAGAAAACAAGGAATAAAATCTTTAAACAACAATTAAACAAAATTAAAAAGTATCCAGAATAAACATGTTTTTGATAATTGTCTAAAGGTCATTGGGGTTAAGACTGGTCTAAACTACCTTGACAGGGAATTCTAAAATCAAGGTGCTGTCATGGATAAGACCCTGTGCCTGGAAACATCCTGTACGTTTACAACGAAATCACTATTGTTATAAGAAACAGTCGACCTATTCATTAAACAGAAGCAATTGCAGGGATTGACAGATGATAGTCACAATCTGCCAGTGAGTAACTGTCCAGTGACCTTTCACTGTGTCCAGAATGAAATGATTAGCCTGCTCACACTAGCTCAGGACCATAATGGTGTAGAGCATTAAGAGTAATGTACAGAAAGTTTGAGAAGCAATAATGCAATTATCCCGCTGCCAGTGTGCTTGTGCCCACCACTTCTAGCAAGGCTATATATGCAGCATTGGCACAAGGCAGTGAATCTAGAAATGCTGGCCTTGTTTACGAAGTGTTTCTTCCCACATGGAAGCATTCTGTTCACATAGTCCCAAAAGGATGAAGATAAGAACCCACATAAACTCCAATATTAAACAAGTATAAGAATCCCTGCTGTGTCAGGATGAAAGTCCACCAAGGCCCTTGTCCTGTTTTCCAGAGCTGCCATCAAGAGTGGTACTGAGACAAATGCCTTCTTCCACCAGTGGCTGAGACTTAGTAACTTGGAGGCAAATAGTCATTTGCAAACCCATCTTATCATTTATGTTCCCACCACCACCACCATTAAAGTTATTTACATGGCTAGCTCAAAATCTTACTTCTGATTCCAGGACCAGTGGTAGTATTACAGTTACTGATATCAGAATCAAGTGGAACATTCATTGAGGTCAGAAGGCACCCAATAACTCAATGAAAGTTTGTTTTGCTGCATGCAGGACAAATCTAACCACTGTAGTATTTAGGTTCTTACATTTTCTTCTTATGTGTAAGACTGGACTTCCCATGACAGCTTTAATGCAACTCCTGTAAAAGATGCCTTAAATAATCAAGTGAAAGGCTGATCAGCTAAAATAATTAAAATGGATGCTCTTAGGAAGATCCACCATGGAATTTGAAATACTTTATGCTGTTAGGAAGGAATTTTCTGCCATACTTTAATGCTAATTATAACTATCAAGTCATGATTATCCTTCTTGACTTGTATGTTTTGCTTAGTGAGAATCTCATGGGCCAGAATCTTATTGGGGTCCACATAAGTTTTGTGTAACATGCCACAGCCAACTGACAAGGTAATGGGACATATTTGCCCTGCACAATTGGTTGTATGACTAGGCACATGACCAAGATGCACCTTAGAGCAGTGGTCCCCAACCTTGGACCTCCAGATGTTCTTGGACTACAACTCCCAGAAGCCTTCACCACCACCTTGGCTGGCCAAGATTTCTGGGAGTTGAAGTCCAAGAACATCTGGAGGCCCAAGGTTGGGGACCACTGCCTTAGAGCCCTGTTAATCAGCTTCTATTAGCTACAACAAGTTATGCAAGCCTTCACAAACACCAGCAGGATCCTGACCATGGTGGGCTATAATTTGAAGTGTTCTCATATGTTGATTACTCTTAAACTCTCAGTTTAAATAAGGGATGTGGATGGAATGTGAACAAGGTTGGGACAAAAATTTCAGATCAGCATTAATAGTGAAGAGAACAGTGATATCTGTCAGGCTGAGTTGAACTACAGGAGGTAACCTTACTCCTGTAGAAATCACAGTACAGAAAGTTGTTTCCTCAGTGATATATACTACCACCAAGATTATGGTTGGTCAGTTTAGGTGACAGAGATGGTGAGCAGGGCACTGGTGGACTACAGCAGGCTGCTGCAAAGGTTTATTGTAGAACAAGGCCTTGTGACATGCCATTGGTGCTACAAAGATAACATAGATGATGCCAGGCACATTTTCCTGGAGAAAGATTTCCAAAGACTCAACAGTGGAAAAGCATCTCTGCTAGGCTACACACCCCTTGGTACAGCTGAACCAGGTCTGGTTCAGACAGGAACACATGAACCACCTCAAAAATAGATCACAAGTACTGTATTGGCAGAAATTCACCTGGACTTACATCAAATGTTGGCGCACTTTGTTGCGCGTTCTGACCACAAGGCTCTCGGAAGCAGTCACTAAATGGGAGCAAAAGGCCCATTGCAATGATCCAAGAACACAGCTTCTCTGCTTCTTCTTGTGGTGCATTCTCTTGCTGGCTGGACAGCTTTTCCAGCAGAGTGCGACCTGGAAAAATCGGTCAACAAATTAGTCTTAAAACAAAGCCCAGACAAAGGACAAGAACGCCCTATTGGTTCAGATAAGTATTTGAACAGAAGAACCGTACAAGTGGCATAACATACGGTAACACTTGCAGGGTTTGCTCCTCCAAAATAAAATAAAATAAAAGAATTGTTCACAAATCACTTACAACAGAATGGACCTCAGACACTGGAGGGACACTTCTCCAAGTTTCTTGCTACTTTAAGTACAGCAGATTGAGAGTCACACAAAATGTCTGGGAAGAAGAGAGTAAAAGGTTTTTCTGTGGGAGGGCCTTTGCTTGAAATAAACTGTTGGATGATAACAGAGCATGTTCGCACAGCATCAGTGGGAGAGAAGGGAAGGTTTTGTCTGGCTCTTCAGAAAACCCACTACACAACTTGCTCTCCCCCAGTGTGTGCAAATAAAAGATTTTGACTGAAATCCTGTTATGCAGTTATGCAAACAGCAAAACTCTCAGGCAGAAATTGCTGTCAAGTTAAGAAACCTCCATAGACATTATCCCTTGCATATTGTGTTAGGCAACTTAACATGCAATGGGTAATTCCAATTGAGATTTCTTGATTTATGGGAGTTCATATCTATAAGTTATGCTGTTTGTATACCTGTGCAACAAGATTTCAGCCACTGAATATGTGGCTCACAGCTCTGTAAAACATTGCTAAATCTTACTAATGTATATTAGCTGTTCCCAGCTCATGAGGTACCAAATATACTACAAAATATTTACAGTGGAAGTAAGGTAAAGGTTACCTTACTGGACATTTAGTCCAGTCGTGTCCGACTCTAGGGCATGGTGCTCATCCCCCTTTCCAAGCCATAGAGCCAGCATTTGTCCGAAGACAGTTTCCATGGTCATGTGGCCAGCACGACTAGACACAGAACGCCATTACCTCCTATTTATCTACTCACATTTTTACATGCTTTCGAACTTCTAGGTTGGCAGGAGCTGGGGCAAGCGACGGGAGCTCACTCCATCCCGTGGATTCAATCTTATGACTGCAGGTCTTCTGACCCTGCAGCACAGAGGCTTCTGTGGTTTAACCCGCAGTGCCACCACATCCCACAGTGGATGTAGACATTAGAAAAACTGGGACCTGATCAAGCTTAATAAGTTTGGATTTACATTTTGGCTAAGTCCCCAACTTGTTTGCAGTCTGGCCGTTACTTCCTAGGAGGTTATAAGACTCTGATAGGAGGCAGGAGATTTTGCCTCTGTGATCCCCACTGCTATGCAAGTGAGAGGGAGGAGAGCATTCACCCACTCTGGTAATACAGCATGCTGCAAGCGTGTCTCAGCTGCAGCAATATTGGGGGCAGTGGCTGAAGCCTTAAAGGCTACTCCTGCTGCAACAACGGTCCTCTTTCTTCTTTGTTGTTGAATGGCCTGCCCACTGGCCCTATTGGCCAGAGTGAAGTTTCGGGTCATCTAGTGGGCTGGTTAGGCATTCTGGGCTCAGGATTCCTGACTGGTATTGAACAAAAAGGGCCACCATAAGTTTTTCCTATCCCATTCTGATTCCTTCAGGGCAGTGGACAGTTTCATGCTCAATAGGATGCAATTTAGTGGGTAGTACTGGGAGAGGGGTCGCAATTGGGTCCCCTGCTTGGGTACCATTAATCATGGGGCTCAGGGACACTGACAGGGATGGCCCTATGAGACAGCCGGGAGTGGCGATCAGCCTGAAATTGTAGGACTTGGGTTAGAAGCATACCTGAAAGTTTCTCCTCAAAATAGCAGGTCAAGGCAAGTCTGGAGATTTGATAATGGATTGCCCAGTAATCTTTTTTATTTCATTAAATACTGTGTCCTGGAATGGCTCAACTTTACTATAGAATCACCATAAATGCTGAAATGAGCCTCCTGTTCTATAGTTCCTCCAAGAAAGTGGCAAGACAGGGGAATTTATATACAGTATGATACTGTGTTTCCCTGAAAATAAGAGAGGGTCTTATATTACCGTATTTTTCGCACCATAAGACGCACTTTTCCCCACAAAACAGGGGGGGTGGAAAGTCTGTGCGTCTTATGGAGTGAAGAAAACAGATTATATTTTCCTCTTTTCTTCTCCTAAAAAAATTGGTGCGTCTTATGGAAAGGTGCGTCTTATGGAGCGAAAAATACGGTAATTTTTGCTCCAAAAATGCGTTAGGGTTTATTTTCAGGGGATATTTTATTATTTTAATGTACAACAATCTACATTGATTCAAATACAGTCATGTCATCTTCTTCTGGTTACTGCACAATGGTGGAGGGCAGGGTTTCAGTTTAATGGGGCTTATTTTGGGGGTAGGGTTTATATTACAAGCATGCTGAAAAATCATACTAGGGCTTATTTTCAGGTTAGGTCTTAATTTTGGGGAAACAGGGTAACTTCACTGATGTCAAATGCAACTTCTATAATATCTTCAAAGCAGACTCTTTAAACCTGGTTGACACTCCCTTAAATTGATTTAAAAAACATGTTGCTCCAGTCACTCCCCTCAATTTCAATACCTCAGGCTTGTTTCCACACCATGCATAGTTATTGTAGGGTCCTGTCTAGGAAGCAAGACTATATTTTTGATGCAACCCATTTATTGTACTCTTCCAGAGTGTTAAGACGCTCCTCAAAAAAGGCTAGATGCCCCAGACATTCTAATGTGAACACATTTTGCATAATAAAAACTTAATGAGTCCAAAGGATTATGCAGGCAGAAAATAGTCAATAATTTCCCCACTATTTTGTTAGATTCTGAGTGATTTTAATTGGGAAACTGTACAACTATGTATTTTGGATAGTTTCTTCTTATGGATCATCGTTTTCTAAAATACAAAAATTATTGATCGAGTAATAGCATATACACTTAAATTACATAATATGTGCAATCAATAACATATTGATGACTTATGGCCAGCTTCCCACCATCTTCTGAATTTTGTGTTATTGACTTAAATTGATTTGACAGTCATTGCTTTTCCATGGGACCTTTGGGAGCTGTGCATTCTGTGAAGAGATTTAGGGATTTGCCATCATAAAGTTGGCATCACCCTCATCAGACTACTAGGAGAATCCATGAGTGATAACCTGCTCTGAAACCATACACCCAAACCAGGGCTCCATAGGTGGCGTGACAAGCAACAGGACACAACAAATGATGTCCATAGTTATTTCTTAACTTGAGGCAACCAGCCTTGTGGAAGAAATGTATTTTGCCTAGGCAAACAGAGAGACTAAATCTTCCTAAGGGTTTCTAGGGAAATGTAGCAATACAAACACGAAGTAGGATCCTCAACACTGTATTCTGTGGTCAGAGAACAGATCAGATAGACAATATTGTATACCATGCCCTTGCATCCAGACAGTGTCGGCATATGGAAGACTGTCCTGAGTGAGCAGGTTGGTGCGATGCTTTGGTCCCAGGAACCAAATTCATAGGCTTTATTGCAAAAATAAATAAATACATTCCTAACTGTACGACAGTTTGGAATTGTCTCATTGTAGAGCAGTACGACAATGGAACCCGTTACCTTGGGAGGTGGTGAGCAATCTAATACTGGAAGCAATCAAGAGAATGTTAGCCATTTATCAGATATACTTTGATTTGGACTCCTATGTTGAGCAGGGGACTGGCCTTATAGGGCCCTTCCATCTCAAATATTCTATGAGTCTATGACCAAACAGAGAAACAACCTACTATAACAAACCTTAAAAAAACTGGTTTGAATTGAGCCTTCCATGACTCCATGTCAGAGGCTCACTCCTCAGGGAAGGGAGGCAGGACAAGCTAAAGCCTTGCCCAGATGCACTGAAGGTATGTTCCACTGGGGAGAAATCCACCACATAGAATTTTTTATTGAATCTGGTTTGTGGCACCAAATTGTGGAAGAAATAGCTTGATAATTGTTTAGATTAGGTTGTTTGTTTAAAACTACTACTATTACCGTAGGAGAATAGCTAAGAACATTGCCCAAATATTTCAGAGCAGAACAAAATGCAATTTTTTTCTAGTTATTCACCTTCATGTGTTCACAAAGCTTGTTTGTAGGGGAAAAGTACAGACTGTTCTTACTTCAGTTACACATTCTTAGTAAACTCCTATTAGTGATTCCCTTACTCTGAGTGTCCAAAGACTTTCAGCTCTCCCAATTCCCTTTTTCTCTCAACATACTTTTACATATGTTGTAAGCATGTCTTCTACATATATGTCTGGTTTCAAAATTACTAAGCCATGTTTCAGCATATAAAACAAGGGACAGTATACAGATAAAACTAAGATTTGAAATAGTACATGAAGCAATTAAGAACATTCTATGCTAGTTAAAACTGTATACAGTACGTTAATTACATACACTTGACTTTGGACAAGCATTCCAAACATGGCTGGGGAATCTTGGAGTCTGGAGGCAGCACAATATCATTATTTAGAGCTGTTGCATCCATAGTTAGCATACAGTATAGGCTTCTTTTTGAGGGGCTGGTCACGCAACCAAAAAACCCCTGAGATTTGACGTGTTATGTGAAGCTAGAAAAAAAATGGAAGAAATGATAGGATGTCTTCTTCACCTAAATGCCCTATGAAATTTTGTGAGGCTAGAGGATTCCATTCCATAATAAAGGTCTTGTCTGAAGCAGCATGTCTTCATATCAGAAACAAGAAAAAATTTAGATGTATCGCTTTGGGAAATTACACCTATTCAAAAGTCATTAAGATAATTTTACTGCAATGAAACCAGTGCTGAGGGCTGCAGGATGACCAGGAGTGTAACATTTGGATTGATCTAGAGAAACCACATGCCACACTGCTCGTTTCACAACTTGCTTCAGATTATTACTTCTGTCATTTTACAGCTTGGCTCTCATTAGGGAGCATTTATGAGAGCACAAGCAACAGTAATTCATGATGACTCATTCCCACGTTGATTAACTACAGCCAACTTTTCTAAATACTCAAATAATCAAGAGTTCATTGGCTTTAGAATG